ATCTAGGAGAAAATACTGCCAGGTACGGTCAGTTCTAAGTCTAGGAGAAAGAGGCACCTGCCTTGAACAGCACACTGAGCAGCAAAATCACCATGACAGCACCTCCTGTGCTGGTGCCTTGGCAGGTTGGCTTCTTCTGCTCCAGAAGAGGGAAAACTTGGGCTGTAATTCTTCCCTTTCACCGTCCCAGACTTCAGTTCTCATTTTTTCCTGATAGAAGCAGGAAAACCAGCCTGCATCCTAATCCCTTCCCTCCTCCTGCTTTCCCTGCACTTCTGTCCAGACTGCAACTCCTTCTTCTTGGGGTGGCAAAGTCTGGATTTTTGGGCAGGACTGAGATACCATCTGCTCCTACTCCTGCACATGTGCTGACAGGAGATGCTCAGCGTTGGGGTGGTGGTGAGCTTTTTGGTGCCTCTGCATCCCTATGTGCAAAAAGAGGGGAATTTGTATCCCTCATTTCTCCTAGTGTTGTCATTCTTAAGGATATTCTTATTCCAAAATGTGTCATTAAGGAATTAAATCCTATTGGAAGTCCCAGATGCGCTCACAAGTCATTTTTGTGCTTTTGAAAGTAGTGCCATACTGTATTAGTATTTTTAGATCACTTGGATATTTTCAGCTGGAGGAAAATCTTTTATTTTCTTTGTTAATTGTGCTATGAATAGATCCTAGGCTACTGAGGAGAAATGAGTCGATATGTTGAAATGGTGATCCCTCGTGAGTTCAGGTGTACACCTGGCTGCTCTGAATTGCTTACCAAGCTGGGCTGCTGGAGCGGTGACAGCTTCTACCAGCTGTGGATCTGTCCCAAAGTTGCTTGGGCTTTTTACAAAGACTTGGCAAGCTGCCACTGCTCGCAGTTCCTTGGGACTGTGGATTAATGCCACAGTTTAGACCCTGATCGTTCAGTATGAGACAAGATGGGCCCCTGCACTGTTCAGATTATCAGTAAAGAAACTTCAGAGCATCATCATCATTCATGAGCTGATTTTGCTCATTGTGATACAGTAAGCAAAAGCGGCACATGTTACAATCACAAATGAAAGGCACAGGGAATCAACCAGAGGGGAAATGTTGGAAGATACTACTAACATTTGGAAAAGATTGTCTGAATGGTAGATTTGACCCTTTCCTGGAGTGAATCAGCATACCCAAGCTGACTGTAAGAGAGCTACAGCAGAGTCTTGTGTCTGGACCTCTGCATACCGGCTTCAAAATTTTCAAGAAGGGATTGGTGCATGGGAAAAACAAGGTGACTGAGTCTCCATTATAGCTCAGTCTTAGGCATCTGTCATGGGATTGCCAACAAGTAACATGTATTATAGTCAGAAAATGCTAACCACGAAGTGAACCTGGCTCCATCAATAGCTAGAATAAGCAAAGGAGAAAGAATTATCAGGGGTAGAGGATTTAAATACCTTTGTGTGGGTAAATTATCAACTCATTTCTTATAGCTTTTCACTGGCCAAAGAGAGAATATCTCTGGAGACATTTTACTGAATGCAGAAACTCAATTAGAATAAGATTGTTACACAACTAATAAAGTGTTTTCAGACAGAGAGTTATTTTAAGTGCTGTAGAAATATTAAAGCATTAGAATAAAACATGTAAAAGCAGGGACGAGCACAGTTAAAAAACTTTTCATGGTCTTTAGGCTCCTAGATCTCTCACTTCTGAGGCTTGGTTGGTATTCTGGCAGCTTACAGCACCAGCCAGTCTTCCCTGCTGCAGTCACCTGTGCACAGTGACACCAATGCCAAATCTTACTTCTTTTCAGAGCTAATGCCATTCTGGATATGCTAGAAACTTTTACTGTCAGAAACGTGGAAGTGCATGTGTTCAGTGACGTACTCCATTTCCCTGCCTCCTTCAGCTGGGTGAAAATTTACAGGGATCAAAAAACTTCTGTCCCCAGTGTGTTTATGTTAAACTAACAATCAAGGATGTTAAGAAGTTCATGCGGTGCGGCTGGGAAGTGATGTATAACTGCTTCTGCATTAAAAAGACCCATTAGTGAGCAAGGCACAGTTGTTAGGAATTGTTTTTGTAAGTGCTTAGTAATTGCATGTATTTGCCATGCAGCTTTACATTTGAGATTATCCTACATCCCTTTTTCTTACACATTGTTGTTCGTTTATGTGGCCTAAATACTTACAATCTCCTCTTTTAGACAGAAGCAAACCCTTTCAGTGTGACCCTGCGTGGCAGTTAGAGACAAGGTGGAGCGAATTCCTGAGAGCACACAGCGCATCCTCTGACCTCGGTGGAGGTGGGGAGTCCTCAGCTCCTCCTGAACCACCGAGCCTGTGTGATGCGCAGGTTGATGCCAGTCTGAAATGCGAGCTTCTGCAGTGCCAGTGCTGAAGCTGTGAAAGAGCCTGCATTTGGCCGTGGTGCTTCTTCTCCTCAGTGCTGTCAACACCAAGACTCAGGCTGTGATAGCAAAGCAGAAAGCTGCTGCTTCAGTGATTATTGCTCAGACGTTGATGTACCCGACCACCTCTCCCCTCAGCACCATTTCTGCTGTATCTAGTAATTGTATTTCTTTATAAACAGTAATTTAGGACAATTAGGAGCAGTAGCATAGTTAAACCTTTAAAAGGTTATCTAGCAATGTCATTTTCTTGACTAATGTGTTCCTGCTGCCATGTCGTTTGTGAATAGACATGTGTTAGCCAGCTCGTGTGCTTCATCTGTGGTGACTTTGATTTATTTGCTCTGTAAATTGGGACTGAAGCAATAATGGAAAGTGACATTAATTGTTTAACAGAGTCCTCTTTGTCACATCCTCTGCTTTCTCTGGGGTGTTTGAATGTTGAAACTTGTACAAAACTAATTGAAATTGCTGTGATGAGGACCAGTGTCCACTCAACTTTCTGTTCTTGAATGTCAGTGCACTTGAATGTCTGTTTAAAGCATGAGAGCTGAGCAGCTAACAGCAAATATCAAGGTTTCTTCTGGCATGCTATTATTAAAGAAGGCATTCCCTGTTAGAAATAGTAACACTTTCAGCTTGTTGTCAGCTTTATGAGCTGCAAGGCTCGACAGTGTGCCTTGCTGGAGAAGTTCCTGGTGTGGGGCAGCCAAACCTCCACATGACACCCCAGGGCTGAGGGTTGACTCTTGCCACCATTCATGGGTACAAGAGGCTTGAAATGCCATTGGGGGGAAAAAAAAAAAAAGGTCATCGCTTTTTTACATTGCAAAGTGCTTTTTTGCCCAGTAATGCTTTTCATACTTTTCTAGATGGGACACTGTAATTTTCCTCTTTTCCTGTCAAAAAGGGTCTGGAAAAGATGGATTTGGAATATAATTTTATTTGGAAGGTGACTCCCCTCTGCTTACTTCTATCCTCTGCACACTGAGTTATCACGGCACTGTGAACGTGCCTGCTTGGTAGGGTGGAAATCATGAGATGCCAGAACTTAAGGCAACTCTTCTCAATGTCCAAGACCCTTTTGGCCTTTTAAGTAAATGCCTCTCCTTAGCATTAGCTTTGCCTGAGTGTTTATTTATTTTTTGGGAATGTGCTGTAAGCACCAGCACAGTCTGTGCGCTGCCATAGCTTTCTAGCTTGAAGACAGTTTTTCTGTAAGCGGTGAGGTGTGATTTGGGAGAGAAGCCTGGGAGGAGTAATTATCTGTGTGGTTTATAAGCATCTCTGTTCAGTCTGGTAGATAAAAGTATTACTGAAAAAGGTTATGCTAAGGGGATTCCCAGATTCACTTAATTTTTTTTTTTTCTGAGGTGTGACTGGCAATGTTTGGTAACTTTTCTAACTTCTTTTTTTGTTTGTTTGTTTGTCTGACTGGTATATTCCTTGCTGGTTCCCTTTTAAACTGTGAGATCTGAGCTTAGCTGAAATCTCTTCACAGTGTGAACCTGGAGCGTGATCAGCCACTCTGAAGCTGTTGGAAAACTCCCAATTTGATATCCCTAAAATCAGTGAAAAGCTTTTCATTTCTTTAATAGTACTAGGATCAGCCTAGGAATCCTAGATAATTGATCTGTCAAGATCAATTTCCAATCTTTCTGAAAAATAAATACAGTGATTTTTACACAATTCTATTCCTCAGAACTCTCAGTACTCAAAAAATCTGTACCTTAATATACAGTAGGGACTATATTTCATTAAAAAATTGGAAGGCATTTAAATTTTCTCCATTTGACAAAAAGAAGTCTTGTTGCTGAAATAAGATATCTAGTATAAATTAACATTGGAGCCACATCTGATTAGGAATTAATCTACTTTTATAATTGCAGTCTGAATTAGATAAATGCACACAATAGGCACATTGAGCACTCAAACGACATAACTCGAAAGGACAACTTCAAAGGCAACCTGCCTAGCACATTTCTTTAAAAGAAACACAAAGAACCTGCCACGTACAATATGAGTCCTGATGGCTAGTCTTATGCCAAAATGCTCAGGAATGAAAAGGTTTTTGCTTGGTTTTGGAGCAATGATTTCCAGAAGTATGGAAGGGAAACCTTTTCTCTCTTATACCAGGCCATGTGTGTGAACAAGGTTTTCCAGATTTCACTGGTGATTCATTTTGGTCTTCTGATTAGCTGTCTTATTCTCTGATTCTTGTAATTTTGTCAGGTCAATTAGCTGGTGTTCAGTGTTGAAAAGAGAAAGAAACAGCCTGGGCTGACACCGTCATTAGGTGTCAGCAGCTCAGGCACATCCTGTAATACAATCCCTGGGTGATTACTTCTCGTTGTTAACACCAGTTTAAAAAAAAAAAAAAAAAAAGAATTGCGGAAGAAAAGCAAACTAGAGCAACACAGTGCAAGTGCAAAGAGATTTCTTGTGAATGCAAAGATAGACCATTTTATTGCACTTAGTTACATCTTCAGAGATACTATTGCAGATTACTGTTTCAAGGGCTGATTTAACTGTTTTGACTGGGTTTTTTTCACATAGAGAGACATAGTATTTCTCCTTTTCGCTTCTCACCTGGTTCTGCTTTTTGTTTTGCTCCCTCTCACAGAAGATAGATGAAGAGAGCGAGGCAAACTTGCTAGCCGTTCTCACTGAAACACTGGACAGCATCCCTGTGGATGAGGATGGATTGCCTTCGTTTGATGCACTGACAGATGGAGATGTGACCAACGAAAATGCTGCTACCCCTTCCCCAATGCCCGACGGCACCCCTCCAACTCAGGAGGCAGAAGAGCCGTCTCTAGTAAGAACCCTTCCTACTGTTTAACAGGAATTGGATGTGCCTCTGGCTACCCACTGCATGGGTATGATGTAGTCACAGTAAGGTCTGGACTTTTCATTTAGGCTAGAAAGGAAAATCAAGTAAAGAACTGAAAATTAAGCAGGGAAAAAAAAAACACCAAATAGGAGGAATAATTAGGCAATCTATTAGAAAGTGTGCTGAAGAGAGTGTTTTGAGGTTCTTGTGCTAATGGCTCATGCTTTTGCTTATCATTCTGTTCAAATAAGTCAGGTTAATGGTTTTTAATTCATATTTCATTTCTCAGGGCTCTTCTGCTTGTATGTTTGGACATCACTTTTGGTGATCTGTAAAGAAAGACTCATTGAGTCTTGCGGGATGCGGGGCTAATTTTGTTCCTTTAACATTGATTTGAGCAGTAAGCACCAGCTTAGTGCTAATCAGGGCAAAACTGAACCTTGGGTGAGGATGTGGGTGAAACCTTATATGCATTTTGCTCAGTAAAACCAGTCTGAGAAGTGATTCTGTTTCTGCTGAAAGCCCCTTATCACTGGCTTCTACGGAAGCAAAGCCGGATACCTGCATCTTGATGCTGTATCCATTAGTCTGCTAAAGTTGACGTCTCTGTTTAGATCAGAGGCCTCTTCTGTCAGACAGATCGCCGAGAATTTCATTTTGCTGTGGATTCAGAAATCCAAGACCCTTGTCATTTCTGCTTGCCCTGCAGTATACTGCAGAAATTCACTGCCAACCCAGAAGAAAATTAAATCTGTTTTCTCTGGGGAATATCGAACCCTTCTTTCTGTTTTATTTTATTTTGCTTGCTGAAATCAATGTAGCTAATTTTAAGTAACTATGCAAAAATGTAGATAAGTCATTTTAATCCATAAAGATGTGTAACTTTACTCTTTTCTTTCCACCTCCCTTTCCCTGTTGTGTTTGTAGCTTAAGAAGCTCTTGCTGGCTCCAGCCAACACTCAGCTAAATTACAATGAATGCAGTGGTCTCAGCACACAAAACCATGCAAACACTAATCACAGGATCAGAACAAGCCCTGTGGTTGTTAAGGTACAAACTTAATCTTTGTAATAAAAGAAAGAAAAAGCATAATAAGGTCTTTTATGCTTTCAGCAACCAAGCAAGCAGTAGATCTACATATATTGTATTAATCTTCCTACGATCTTGCAACTGCTTTTTTAAAAAAAAAAAAATTGAACAGATTATAGACTGGGTTCCAGAAAATCACCTGAGCTCCTTTATGCACTGAATATTTCATTTACGATTTTTCTCTTGGCAGAGTTCAGTTGTAGTCCCACCGTCTGTTACTCTTTCCTACTTTATTGATACACAGAGTAGTAGGGGGTATGATAAAATCTGCTGATGGGCTGATGTTGTTTCTAGGATGTGGGACTGCCATTTTACCAGCTGTCTGAGCTGAGAAAAATGACACTGGATTCTTGGCAAAAGATGTGTGTTGACCATTAATTGGATAGAATGGGGGCTCTGACATAATTCTGTTAGCAGGCAGTATTAAACAATGTTTGTCTTCCCGTTCACTGTAACTGAAAATGGAGCATTTAGGGATACTTAAGAGAGTTGTGAATACTGGGCTCAAGCAATCAGCAACAAATTAAGGTTTAAACCAGCTTATTTTTTGTTCACAGTAAAGGCGCTGTAGGGTCTTGTTAGTTACATGTTGCTGAGTAGGAACATTGAAATGTAGGAGAAATGAAATAAAAAGCTGCATAAATGTCATTTAGGAATTTTAAATGTAATTTTCTTTCCTTGTTCTGCAAACAATTATTCACAGCTCATAGATCTAGTACACTTAGACTGAACACTTCATTGAAAATCTCATCTCTTCAGAAAACCTATATCCATTCTGATAAGGTTCAGCTCACTAATTTTAGCTTTTTTTTATTTTGTTTTATTTTATTATGCACTGTTTTTAAGACTGAGAATTCATGGAGCAATAAAGCAAAGAGCATTTGTCAACAGCAAAAGCCTCAAAGACGTCCCTGCTCTGAACTTCTCAAATATCTGACTACGAATGATGACCCTCCTCAGACCAAACCAGCAGAGAACAGGAACAGCAGCAAAGAGAAATGCACCTCCAAAAGGAAGCCCCATCTGCAGTCTCAGACAAATCATCTGCAAGGTAGGTGTGGGAGCGCGGAACACAGCTTTGGTAGCAGCTGTAGCACAGGGAAGCTGAACTACTGCGGTTGCGAATACCCTCGATACCTCTTCTGTTCTTTGGATTAGTATAGTAAATCCAGCCTCTCTTCTGCATAGGGAGAATTTTAAAACAGTATAATGAAGTTAGAATTCGTTAGCTAGATTTAGCTTTTAAACAATTTTAATCTTGTCTCTATTGCCCCCAGACTCAGAGAAAGAATCTCAGGAAAAGAAGTTTAGCAAATACCACATGTTAATATACCAAGCTAGCTGGAGACACTTATTCACACTAAGAAATACTTATTCACTAAGAAATTGTTATACCCCTAAACCAGCTGGGCAGGCCAGTTCATTAGTGAGCTTCTTTATTTTTCGCTAGTGTTAAACTGAAGGCATTGTTAACCTGCCACATAGTCCTTAAGAGACAATAAATAGTGCTCTTGCTGCTCCAGAGAAAGCAATAAATGTGTCATTCCTGTTAAAGCTGGAATGCCAGTTTGTAATTTTAGTTTGTAAATAGTTGAAAGTATAGCTGCCATCCTGATCTTTCTCTCTCTTTTTAGATTCTTCATGGCCAAAACTAAACACTTATATTGACTTTTAGTATCCCCTGATGCCTAAAGAACTGGTCTGTATTACTAGTAGCTTCTGTGACAGAGATGCAAGAACTTAAGCTCCCTCTTTCTTTCCTCTCCTCCACTTTCCCTGCCTTTTCTCCCAAGATGAAAGAAAACTATGAAAGTTTACAAGCCCAAAGGAAGATTTTTTAGAAGTTACTGTTAATTTAAAATACATTCATATATATATATATATTGGGCTAGCATCTAGGAAGCCAGGTGCCTGTCTACTTCACATCAATGCAAAGCCTGGATGACTCCTCTTAAGTCAGTGGATGTTATATGGCTGCAACTGAGATCAGGTTATGACCTTAAATGTGTTGTTCCAGTATTTTTAAAGCAACAGTGGTGAACTGTGTATGTTTTTCTTCTTTTTCCCTCCGCGACTCCCTGCATCTTTAGCCTCCATCAAATCTAATTTTTCACTCTTCACTAGAAAGTATAAGCAGTAATAAAAATAATCTTCCCACCACTAAATACCCTTCTTGCAGCTGTACGTTCTGACACCATAAGTATAGTTTTCTCCATTATCATCTCAAATTCTTTGAACAATGCTTCTTGTAAGAAAGAAATCCGACTGCCCCTAGAGCTTCTTGGATGCCAACTGCTACTCCTTCTGGATGGCTTCAGCAGTCTGCTTCACAGCAGAAACTAGACTGAACTGCATGTGTAGAAACATAGGCCTGGCCAGAAGTTACAGGGGGCTTTATTAACACTGTTTTGTCTGTTAAGGTGATAAACGGTAAGGTATATTGTGTATGATACGCTGTATGCACATGTATGTTGTACACATGCATAGATGCATGTGCACACACGCATAAATGCGGACTATAAAATCTTCCTCTTCAGATCAGAGCTGTGTTTTTTCCCCAGCTGAGGCCACGGGGTAGATTCAGTGCGAAGAAGCAGAGCACATTGGGTTATGGAAACAGCGCGGAAGGAGAGGTTAGGAGAGTCCAAAGGGACATATAGCTAACTCACCAGTGTTTAATAGATGACTGTGACTGTGGTGATATTGCAGGCAGAGAGAAATTACTCTCTTTTTAATTCCTGCAGTTCAATTTACCGGCTTCTGAAATGTTGTTTTTTCATCAAATTTGCCTCATACACCAATATATGACTTTAATATCAATGAATTTGCATATAATACAACAATATCATGCTTTCAGCTTGGACAGTCAATTTTTTGCAGAATCAACCTTGCAAATTTAACTGATATTTGCAGACCTGTAGTCATTTGTTCATATATTTAATCAGATGTACATGAAATTGTCTCCTTCTGTTTTAAAAAATAAAGAGGGTCTGATATTTTCTTTCAAAGTTAGGGAGCACTCACAAAGGATAAGTCAAATGGTATTTTCCTTTAGGGTTACTGTTGCAAACATATTGCAAACCCACAGGAATGTCCACAGATCCATTCATGCCAAAGATCATCTGTGGTTTTGCATTGAAATTTGCCCATGAGGAAACTTAGTTCTTTTGAACCTGAATGTTTTCAATTTACAGGGACAAGCAACTTCGTGTGAACCCTTTTTAATAAGAAAAAAACACAAACCACAGTAGACCTTCAAACTCTAATAAACAGGCACCATGGAAAATGATAGTGTCTTGGATAAATATTTACACTATCAATAGCTGTATGTGAGGATGAATCCTTTGCAGGAATACTGTTTGGTCAAGCCCTTGCCTAGCAATAAGAAAACGGATGGGTGTTTTGGTATGCGAATTTCTCAGTGGGAAGGCTCAGTGATATCTGCCTAAAATGAATACATAAGAGTGTGAGATAACAGCTTGGTTCTGTGCCCATCTCTGGCAGATTTGCACTGTGCCTCAGTGCTTCAGAATTTTATATATATATTTTCTGATGTGGGACTATTCTGTGGGACTAATGAGAGCTATAATGATACTTTTTAGAGGCTTAAATAGCTCTTACACATTCAACTTCCTTAGAAAGCCTAAATTGTGTAAGAGTATGTAGATTTTTATCCTCTTAAAAAAAAAAGAAGTGTAAGCCTTTTTATGAAACTTTGTTCCAGAGCCTTACTGTCAGGCTTGGATTTTTTAAAGGCAATTTTACCTCTAGCTAGCCATTGGCAAACATTAGTATCCCCAGATGTGTATAAAATACATACTAAAAGATGTCAGTTTGCATTCAGTTTTACTGCACCTGGTTTTATACACAAATCATTGGCGGAGTTGGATCAGACAAATAACTCGTTGAGGTGCATCTCCTCACTCTGGCAATGACTTCTGAGGAAGGTGAACCCGAGGTGAACACCTGAGCTTCCGTTTCTAACTTTCATATGGGGAGGAGGAGAAACAATATGCAGCTCTTGAGAATTGAGTTAATTTTAAGGAAAAAAAAAAATTATATTACTTCAGGGATGCTCTAGAGCTTATAAAAGTAATCAATTTGCATATAAAACCTTTTAATGTTGATGGGAGCTCCAAGCCTGGAATGAATACGAAATATGCAGTAGTGACACTCTGGACAAAAGATCTGCAGTGCAGGAGTGTTCAAGGGGAACATTTTGTCTTAAGTAATTAATCTGCAGAAGAGATCCCCTGCTGTTGTTCTTGGTACAATGCTCTCTGCGTTTAAACATCAATCTAACTTCTGAAAAGTAAAATTTGCAAGTCATATTATTTTTAATTTTTAAACATTTTGCTGGCAAATAAAGGAACCTTAGTTGTCATACAAGCTCCTAGTTCTTGGCTTGCTTTGGGAAAATACAAGTTTGCATGAATAAAAGCTGCAAAGACTTGTATTTTCATAGCTAAAGCTTTGTTTTCTGTGTATGTTGGGATCGTAGTGCTGAGAGCTTCAACCTCATTTTTAACCATCTGTGACTATGTCTGTAGCTTGTCATAGTTTGCAGATAATTTGCAGAAATTTGGGCTATAACTGGTTGGACTCTGGCCTCACAGAAAGAACCTATTCTCAGTGCTATATATATAATTGTATATTGTAAAAGTAAAATTAACTGAATATTCATAACGTTCTGTTACTTTGTAGTTATTCTGCTGCTCCTGTTTCCATATAAAATGTGAACTGTAGTCTAAATTGACTCTTATGAGAAATAACATTTTCACAGTGTATCCTGTACAGTTCTTTATTGATTTTTAACACATACCACTCTTCCTCTGAATGGTTCTTGGCATTTAGATTATGTACTGTATTTCAGAGGTACAGTATTTGGTGTAAATAATTGTTGAAATTTAGGTGATGTTTTGGTCCCAATTGTGAGGAATCAGGATGAGTCTCCTTATTTATCTATCTAAAATACACTCATATGTCTGTTGAACTATCAGAGCTCAGCCCTAACTAGCTAACATGAGATTCCAGCACCAAAATAAAAAGAAATATTTTTAGAATACATTATAGAGTGTTTAAATATTCCATAATCGTTTTCTTTTTCTCTTTAGCCAAACCAACAAGTTTATCACTTCCATTGACGCCCGAGTCACCAAAGTAAGTACTAAAAAGTGCAAACATTTATAAAAGGGAGGGGGATTCAATAGATTTTGGCTACAGCAACTCCATTTCAGCTTGTTTTTATAAATGTGCCCTGTCTTCCAGTGATCCCAAGGGTTCCCCATTTGAGAACAAGACTATTGAACAAAGCTTAAGTGTGGAACTCTCTGGAACTGCAGGTGAGAAATGGGGAGTGCTGGCTCTTCCTTTAAGCATGGTTTGTGTGCGTGTGTGTTCATTTTAATGTATCACGTGTACAGCGAGATCTCACAAAGGTCTCCAGTAGATTAACTTCAGTGCAGTTTAGCATTGACTTTTTTTCAACTTACCTGAGAAGGAATGCGTGTGTAAATATGGCTCCAACCCTGCACAAGAGAGCATAATTTCTGGGAAGATATGAATGAAACCATTTATCTGTTATACTTGCCTATTTCCCCATAGATTTGTGTACTGCTGAGCACCATCTTTCAAAAACAAACCCCACAGCATAGTGTAATAGATGTTACAGATGGAAAAGTTATGCCATCCAGTCTGTCTCCAGGCCGGTCGAGGGGCTGTACGTGACTGCATGTTTCAGTGCTTTGTCAATTTTAGATTAATATGTCACCAATAACAGCTTTCTCCTCTACCACTGAAAAACTGTTCCATAGCTTAGAGGTAATTTTTTAAATTGGTATTCATTTTGTATTCTTGCTTTCTCTTTATTTCTTCTCTTAGCACGCTTCACACAACCTCCCTTTATCTTCGTCCTCCTTCCAGATTCCTGCCATTTGTTCCTTTTGAAGATTTGTAGATTATTTTTTTTTACCATGTGCTGGCCTAGTTCATGCATCGCCCATTGCACTCGTTTAGCTCATCTGCTCTTCATTCTGCTAAAGTCAACTTCTTCAGGCTCAGTTCTATTGTATTGCTTTCCCCTGAACTTTGTTTTGCCTCTGTTTTCCTGAAGCACATGTTGAGCTTCACCTGAGCCATTGCCAAACCTGTTTTCTTTCTCAGTTGTGTTATATTGAAAAATAAGAAATGTAATTTGGCATATGTTTCAGGATAACAGTGGATTGTAAGTTGAGTGATCTCTAGCATTTTGGGGGACATGGCGAAATAAGTCTTCAAGTACTGTAAATCACCCTGGTGCCCCTGAATTCAGTCGCAGCTTTACACACGAGCAGGCCCAAGCACTATGTGTACTTTGGGCTTTCACCTCTCTACAGCCATCGTTTCACTTTTTCAGAAACTTCTGCATTAGTTCAGCATTAAAACATTCATGCTCTGCTCTACCACGTCCTGAAAACCTGCAGTCTTAATCATTCCTCTCACGACAAAAGGAAGCAGCCTTCCAGTGCACCTTCTTTTTGCGAAACCCACGCAATTGTGGCAAAATTCACTCTGCAGCAGGGTAGCCCTGTTCAGTGCCAGTAGGCCTGAAGCATGGAGAAGACTCTTTTATCGTTACTGGAGAGCAAATCGGCACGAGGTTGCCCATTTGTAAGCACGCTGGTAAGCCAGTGCTTAGTGCTGCCAACCGAAAGGGGCAGATGAGGTGACTACAGCAGAGTGGTACAAGCAGCCGTTGAAATCGCTGAAGGGAGCAGTGTTTTCTCCCAGCCAGAAAGTCAGCAGCCTGCTCTTCCCATCAGCTGACTAGACACAAATTGGGAATCAGTCTGACCCCTGGATAGTCCTCTAGTATTGCCTCCATAATGGTAACAAGAGTGGTCTTGGTATTACCAAATTCATTCCGCTCCGTCAGCTGTGCACAGAGGAGGAAACAAAACAGCCCTGTCGTTCTCTTAGATGAGATAACCAGGAGAATTAGTGCATTAAAACAAAATAAACTGGAAGCTGTGAAACAGCACAACTGGATGAATATGTGAACAGGAGTGTTGTACTATGAAAACATGATTTTTTTTTTTCCCCTCTGGAAGTGAATAGATTCCATCTAGAAAATAAACTGATAATAGTAAGGAAGAATAAGAGTTAGTGGAGCATGTGTGGCCAAGGGAGTTGTGACAATGTTCCCAGGCAGTGTACGTGATGGTGGCTCTTGGACTTCATGTTGCAGTTGCTCTAGTCTCCGCAGTGCCTGGTGAGGAGGTTTCAGGAGACTGTGTTTCATCGCTAGGTAGCTGAATTATTCTCTGCCTTCACATACACAAAGATTTTATTTCTATATTCATTTATGTATATAAATCTATAAAAAGATGAGTGGTGGTGCACATCTTATTTTTTAACTCATTTGTATTGCAGTAGTGTCTTGTGTTAAAAGTCTGCTTGTGCTGGAAGCAGACAAGTACATAACAGAAATAACCTCAAGTACTGAAAGAACTTACAGCTTATGTGAGTAAATCATGAAAGAATTGGGATCCACTTAGGTGAAAAAAAACCTCAACCAAAAAAAAGGAAAAATAATAGCACTAGTAATTGATAATACCTTGGAGTTCTGTAGTGAGACCCTGGCAACTCCAAATTATATCCCAATAACCGCATTGCTCATTGTCCTTATATAGGGCAGTGTGCACTGTACAAGCACTATTTATTATAATTTAAAGAGGAGTTGCCTTGATCTCACTGCCGAATTGAAAAGACCATTAGCAGTGCTGCTCGCACTACCGAAGCACAAAGTATTTCAATATAAATAGCAGTTCCCTTGATCTCTCTGCTGAAAACAACATTGGTTCCCTCACTGATGAATTAACTAGAGTAGAAAAATAAATAAAAGCATTTCCCGCATGAGCCATCAATCTTCGTCACGTGCGTGTTTTGGATTCACGTCTCCAAAGTCAAACTGAAACAGTTCTCTTGCTGGTGCTATATCTTGCTTTACAATGGATTTGTTAGTAGTAGTGAATGTAACTTTGTCCTCCCTAAAACTGTCAAAATATTGATTTGCCAAATTGCAAGGAAGAAATATTTTGTTAAAGTGTTTTCAAGCCGTGCATAAGAATTCTTTGAATTTACTTTAAATAAGTGGCCTGTCGTAGAGAGAGGACATCACTGCTGTCTAAGGTCCCAGCTCCTGCACCTGATTTCTAGTGCTATTCTAAGGAAAATAGACCAGAATATCATGATATGGAGGAAGTCATAGGTGATGATAATGTTGTGGATCAAATGTCTGAGTAAGGCAAATCTCATTGTGAGTGAAACTCCCAAGAGGTCCTTCTCCTTTTGCTTTCACAGCTAGCTGCATTGCCAATGCCTTGCTAAGAGGCTTCTGTAGTGTCTTCCAGGACTGTGGGACATTTCTGTGTCACTGGAAGACCTCTTTCCTCTGTTACCAGTCAGGTTGAGGGGGCACCTGCAGGCACAGTGGCTGTGTTTCTCTTGGTGATCAAGGGCTCCTCAATGATTGTCTTAGACTTTTTGCGGAACTTCTAGATGCCAGAAGTTAGATGGCGTGGCTCCTAAATTTTTGAAATTCAGCTCTCTGTTCTCTCAGTGTCTTTTAAAACTTTCACTCCTAAATACTCAAAGCTGTCATGTAAGTGCATGAAGTGAATTTATAATTTAAGGCTCAATCAGTAACTAGAAGGCTATTTTTACCCTCTTGTCTACAACAGACTTGGTGAAAAGTCTCTCACTTGCACACAGATCCCTGTAATTTACCTGAGCGTAGCGCTCCTCGCTGGGCTTTCTTGCTGCAAAATTTGGTTTCTCTAATGACAGAAAAAGCTCTATGAACAGAAGCAGATTGAACAGTGCTTTGGAATTCATGAGCATCCTTGAGGATACTTAGACCCTGCTGTTTGCCCACCCCTAGATCTGCGTTACCTCTTAGTTGTCAGAACAAATACTTAAAATCTATTGTATAAGAACTTGTTTGACCTCAGAATGATTTCTGATAAAATGAGATGTGAGTGCAGAGAGTTGTCCAGAGGGAATGAAATCTAGTAAATTATTTTATATTTTCAGGCGTCTGTTTATTCTCTGCAGCACTGGCAACAAGATTAAACTGAATACACAGCAAACATGTAGGTTTTTATTATATGATGGGTATTTAATTTTATTGTATTTTACGGGCTTCTGCAATCTCCTGTCACACAAAAGATCTTCTAATTCTTCTACTGAATTGAGCTGTTACCTTGTGTTCAGTTATTTAAATGGCCTTAAATAGTTTTCCTTGATGATCCATTTTCAAACTTAAAAGGTGTAAAAGAATTTCTTTTCAGTTCCTCTCAAAAGCCCAGTGCACATGTAGAAAGGTTCCAGGGCTGCACTCCCCAAAAGACACTAATTCTCAGCCCCCTCAAAGCCCAAGAAATGTCATGAAGCATTTCAATGCCAACAGTTGCAGTAGCATTTTAGAAAGATCACTTACTACGTAAAACAGCGTTGCAAATCAGTCCTAAAAAGTTAAGATGTCACGTTTCATGCAAAGTTGCTCCTCTGATTTCTGCTTGTCAACTTATCTGAACTCTGGGAGTTACTAAGGGTGGTTTTTTTAGTGGCATTTTGGAACGTATCAAAAGTAGCTTCAGTCTCCCAGAGACTTACTTGAAAGAAGTTTCTCGGCAGAAGTGGCAGAGTTGGCACACATGCGAACACCTCGTATTGCACAGACACGAAAAGAACGATGCTACTTTGGCAGCAGTGCTGGCAGCTTGCTATACACTTACTTTCAAGCACAAGATCACCAAGTGAGTTCATAGTACATAGACAGAGCAAGGCAAAGTGCAAACGTACCATTTACCGAAGCTATTCAATTAAAGAAAAGTCCCTACAAAGAAAATGGGTTTATAGCATGTCATGAAAAAATACTTGCCTTTTACTTTAAAAAGAAAAAAGACTGTTTAAGGAGGATGATTGTGGAGTATGTACCACTTCTAACAGATTTGCTGTGCAGAAGTACATAAGTGTGAGTGATGTAGAGGTACTTGTTTATTATAGAGCACATTTCAATGCAGTAATCATAAATATTGCTAAGGTTGTGCTCTGTTGAAATATGACCTACATACTCTTGATTGTTTGTGTTACGTGATTTGTCTGACACCCATTACATTCTGGGTAATGGCAGCCATTTGTTGCTGTGCACAGCAGGCTCTTTTGACAAAAGAAAATAGGCAGCAATAAAAAAGCTATAGTCTGAATTACATTCTGCACAGCGCTGCACTGCTGAGAGTTTGTGCAAGTGTGTTAACAATGCTCTGAACTGCCTCTTGTCAGCCTTCAGCCCGTAATGGCCATCTGTCCTTCCATAAATCTGTCAAAACCTGCTAAGTTCAAGAGAGAGCACAGAATATACCTTGTACTGTCAATGCTAAAATGTACACATTGGCAGAGAAATCGGCACGTGTGAAATAATCCAATGGTTATAGAATATTGTGACGCCGTTGATGTGGGATCAAGGCCCTCGATGAAGAAGACCAGGGATTAGTGTGAAGATGAGCAAGTGTGCAGCCAACTGGTTTTCTCAAAGTTCATGGTTTGGAAATTGGTCACGGGACACGCTGAAGGTGGACTCTGTAGTGGTGACATGAATTCAAAACTTCACACCTTCCTCCATCCCCCAGTGGAGATTCGGTCAAAACAGCTTTTATCTGTTGCTACTTGCCTGTGCACTTCCTGCTTCTCCTGAAAACCAGGAAAAAAGCCAAAATGCCACGAGGAAGCCCTTTCTTAGGCTGTCCCCAGCACAGTTCTGCCAGCAAGAGAAGTGCCAGTAAATTTAGAATCATAGAATTCTAAATTAGCTCAGTCTGTACTTTTGCAAGAGTTTTTTTGGTAGGGTTTTTTTTTTTCCCTTTCTCTAAAGATTGTTGGACTGCTTGTCAGGCTTCTGGAAATCGTGCTCTGTTTAGCTTGCTTCCTGCTGGGGCTAGCTTTAAAGAAGTGAAAATGGAAACAATATTTTATTTTGAATATTGGATTATCTCTGGGGTTTCTTTGCCTGAAATTCTTAAATATGCATGTTCATTTTAGAGTGGTTGTATTTCTGCTTCATTATTTCTTTAAAACTACATGCAAAAAATCAGTAACTAAGCCCAGAACTTCTCATGGGCTGTATAATTTCATGAGTAAAAGTCACATTTTTAAATTTTTTATTTACAAAGCAGTCTTTGCTTACTCAAGTCTTTGTTGAATCCAAGGCTGAAGTCTTAACCCGGAAATTATTACTGCAGAATTTTGAAGAGTTCACTTGGTTAGCCAAGTTCACTTGGTTAAAAATACATGTTAGTAAGAAGGTGGATGAGGTGTGAAATACATGCTGCTGACTCAAGTGAATTTTTTGAGAAGGAAGAAAACATTGAGGGCACAAAGGAAATAGTTTATCAGTGCTGACTTTGCACAATTTTTTTTCACTACTAAATCCAAATTTGGGGTAACCAGATTCACGAGTGTCATTATCATTGCCACAATTCCCTGATTTTGTGGCATTAGGCAAAGTCTTCACATAGACGCGGCTATCTCGTAACCGTTTTTCCCAAACGCTCAGACAAAATCAAGCTTCTCTCTCACATCAAGTATTCATGCCTTCTTTTTTTCTTGAACAAATTCATTGCAGCTAATGCAATGGGACTCCCATTCTCCATTTGTGCTCCTTAGGGAGCACTATGCATTGATGGACACTTTTCCTTCTTTACAGCAAAACACTATAAAACATGTTCCATTTGCATTGATCTGTTGAGCTCTGTTGCATGGTTAAAAATACAAAACAAAACTCTATAGCCATGTTTGAAATACACATTTCCTGTAAGTGTGTCTGCCCCCTTTTTTCGTTCTTGTTAAGGAAGTAATGGAAAGCTCATCGATTGGGCTTGAAGAAGAAATTCTGGGCAGCATCAGCCTCTGGGGCACTTAAGGATGGTCTGGATTATCTAGGAGAACTCCCTAATCTTGGTCTAATTTGTTTAATTATAAACATATTTGCTTCTAAATAACATCAATTTGACAGAAGCAAATTTTTCAAACATGACATATTAAGTACCTTCCTGAAGAGTAATTATTTCCTGCACAGTGGCTGCAGTTTGCTATTGCTCTGCCCTGGTGTCCTGGGTTATCCTTTTGTAAAGTCTGAACAAATTCCATGATTTCTACAGAAAATATTGACAGTTATATTCTGCATATATAAAAATAATTGGAAGATGCTTCTTAAGTTGCCAGGCTTTACTGGAATGGGCTGTAGCCCTTCCTGCCTCACCATAGTGATATAATCTATTACAGTTAGGTGAACAGTCCTGGTGATTAGTGGTATGTTTAGTCTTCAAATACTTCTCTGTTTCCTTTCGACTCCCTACTTCATGATTCTCACTAACATCTAGTTCTAAATGCAATAGTTTATTACAGTTGTAGTTGTTCACTTCGGTTTCAGTTGCAGAACAACATTTCAGGCAAAATGTATTAGTTATGCTTACAAGCGTGTATTATACCTACATTAGTGATGGTTTACTAGGTTAATGAACTACGGAGACAAAGAGTCATTTGCAGTCACGTTGTAAAGTTGCTGTGCTTCCTTGCATTCAGGTTCTGTGTCCCATCAAGGTTTTTTTGGTAGCACTCATCTATTTTTTTTCAGAATTGCTTTTATTCGGGTTTTTGTCTGCTGATTTTGTTAGGTTTTTGACAATGCCATTCTTTTGACTTTGGATTTTTATATAAAAATCTTTTTGATTTTGAATGAAAAAATCTTTTGGATTTTCTCTCTTGATCTTTTCTGTCAAAATCTACAGAGAGAGAGGTAGACGTCGTGGAGGAAGGGGCAGAAATGATGCTAAAGATTATTGGTGATGCGTTAGTACTGTTGCTGTTGTTGTTACCAGACCTTTGGCATCACGCACCCTAGATAATCTTATTCCCAGTATTAGTAGTATTAAAGTGACATAGAATGGGTCTTACTTCGTATCTGTTTTAAAGAAGCACATGAGCCGCCTTTGTAAATGTGCAGTGTGTACTTAAAAATACTCTGTTCCTGCTTTTTTCTCCCTTAGGCCTAACTCCACCTACGACCCCTCCTCATAAAGCCAACCAGGATAATCCTTTTAGGACTTCACCTAAGCCGAAGTCATCATGCAAGACTGTTGTACCACCTTCAAAAAAGCCCCGCTATAGTGAGTCTTCCGGTTCTCAAGGAAATAACCCGATCAAGAAGGGTGCAGAACAGTCTGAGCTGTACGCACAGCTTAGCAAGACTACAGTACTGTCCAGTGGACATGAGGAGAGAAAGACAAAACGGCCCAGTTTGCGGCTGTTTGGTGACCATGACTACTGTCAATCTGTGAATTCTAAATCAGAAATACACATTAAAATATCCCAGGAACTTCAGGACTCCAGACAACTAGAATTTAAGGATTCTTCACCTGGGTGGCAGTGTCAGATTTGTTCTTCTTTAGAACAAGACCAGTATTTCAAGAAAGAGACTTTACAGACAAGTAAGGAGGGATCCCACGGTAATAACAGAAAACAGCTCCAAGACCAGGAAATTCGGGCTGAACTGAATAAGCATTTTGGTCACCCCAGCCAAGCTGTTTTTGACGAAGAAGCAGATAAGACCAGAGAACTAAGGGACAGTGAATACAGTAATGAACAATTCTCCAAACTACCTATGTTTATAAATTCAGGACTAGCAATGGATGGTCTCTTTGATGACAGTGAAGATGAAAGTGATAAACTATGCTACCCTTGGGATGGGACACAAGCCTATTCATTATTTGATGTATCGCCTTCTTGCTCTTCTTTTAACTCTCCATGCAGAGATTCAGTGTCTCCACCCAAATCCTTATTTTCTCAAAGATCCCAAAGGACACGCTCTAGATCAAGGTCCTTTCCTCAATGCAGGTCTTGTTCCCGTGCTCCATATTCCCGATCGAGATCAAGGTCGCCCTGTAGTAGATCCTCTTCAAGGTATGGTACAGTGAATTCATGTATCATCATCATAGTTCATAAGAAAGAAAATAGCAAAAACATAAAGCAACTTAAAGGAAAGAAAGAAAAAACCCAAGAAATAACTTAATCTAGTGCAACTTGTACTGTAGCTCCTGAGCTGATTAACTCTGAAGGTTACAGGGTTGCTACAGAAACACTTGCTGCCATTATCCTTTAAATTTGCCAAGTTTACACTTTCTGAGTGGAGCCAGTCAGGTCAGCAGCAGAGCAATTGGTGAGAGATGTGCACAGCTAACCTTTCCCATTATCTGCGAGCTGCCCGTTGCCAATCTAGCTGCAGTCCCTATCAGATGAAGTTGACAGTGGCTGACTTTCTGCTCTGTTTTAGACTCAATAAGGAACGTTACAGAAGGGTGCGGGGGGAAAGCACTTGAGGCCCCTTGGTTGACTAGGAGATCACAAACTGTCACTGGAAAATCTCGCTGCTAGCGTAGAAGAAATTTTAAGTTCGGGGAAGAGGTGGAAAACAGTGTCAATCGAGTCAAACTGAATGACAGAGGTGAATGTGTTTCTTCCTGCAGATCTTGTTGCTATTATGAGTCCAGTCACTGTAGACACCGAACACACAGAAGTTCTCCCTCACGTGCAAGATCGCGATCCAGATCACCGTACAGTCGCAGACCCAGGTAGGGCATTTTGCTGGCGTTTGGTTTGCTTTGCAGCTGGTTCTCAAGAGATAATGAAGCATTCCAGAAATTGTATTATTAATTTTACATTCACAAATGCAGGTGCTTGATTTAATAACTAAGTTATGTTTCCTAGATATGACAGCTATGAGGAATATCAGCATGAAAGGCTGAAGAGGGAAGAATACCGCAAAGAGTATGAAAAACGGGAATCTGAAAGGGCCAAACAAAGGGAGAGACAGAGGCAGAAAGCAATTGTAAGCACTGTGAAGATAACTTTCATTGTGAAATAGATTTCTGTTTCTTTTCATAGATTTATAAAGCTTGAACTCGGACTTTATTTTCTTTCTTTTTATAAAAGAAAAAAGCTAAATACAAAAATCTGCTTACGTTTATTTCTTAGTATTTTGAATTGTAGGCAAATATGTGTTTTCACAACAATTTGTGTTTTGATATTACAATATATTTTTTAAGGTTCTATAAATTGCTACTCTCCAAATTTTTCACAGTCAACAGATACAAAGGGCTTACTAGAAAAATATTTCATCCTAGAAAACAGACAATTAAAAGTGAACCAGTCTATTTCTTATACAGATATCTCAGTGAACTTGCATTTTGTACCCACCAGAGTACCAGTAATCAATGTCTATTTTCTGGTTTTATACTGAAGCGATATAAGGAGTCAGCTTAAATACCGATCTCTGGACTTTCATAGTAGCTGTAATTGTCTATACAGAAGGTGCAAGTAACAGAATTCAAAACTGAGATCCAAAGGCTTGAGTTTGATTTTTGTTTCCTGTCTATGACTTGGTTGATTTTTAAGTTATTTTTAGCAAAGTAAATAGTCTGAAGACATGATGCAATTTAAAAATGTCACTTAACACTGGCCCTTTCATAATGAATATGTTTTATTTAATTATTTCTACTCATCAATGTTCTATGTTAAAAAACTGAAATACCTGAGGCAAAGGAAATACCCATGTGGGGACGAGCAACTCTCTTGGCTGTTTTAGCAGTAGGACAGAGGAATGGCTATTAAATGGACAGCTGGGTTTTTCCATTTTTTAGTTCCCCATTGGCAACTGTGTGATGGTTTTGATAAATTAAATGGGGAGCTGCTGTAAATCAGGGCTCCTCTTGTAGTTCCTCAGCCCATTTGGTGGCTCACCTTAACATTTTCTGCTTGGTTTTCTGTGTCCTGCTCTTTCCATTCCATTGTGCTTTCACTGCTGTTCTGGCTGTGCTCTAGCTCTCACGTGAACTGGTGCAGACTGGGACAGTTCATTCTCAGATTTTCCTTTAGTGCTGTGTCCACAGCTCACCAAAATAAACAGGTCTTTTTTCCAGTGCCGGCAGTGGACTTTGTAGTAAAAGGTGATTTATCACGCACTTGGCAGCGTTTCTTCTAGTATTTAGACCTACAGAACAGGGAGCACGTAGAGGTTGGCAGAGACTGGTGTAGTCTATAGCACTGAGAAGTTCTGGGAGGGAACAAACACCTTTATTTTCTGTTTTTTGTCTCTGCTACTGTTGTTCTTTGGGAGCTTCATTAACCATTTCACTTTTCTCTGCTTCAGTTGCCCTGTCTACAAAGTGTGGGTGATAGGTGTGTTTTGTAAAGCATGAGATTTAGAGCCATGGTATGCTCTTCTGTGCTGATGTGAAACTCGGTGAAGGCAATGGAATCATTTTGCTCAGCTTCAGACAAGGCTGTATTTAAGTCAATTGTTGCAGTTAGTTTTAAAATATCTGGCTTCCATCTGCTTAGAGATGAACGTTACCTTTCAGCAATCGTAATTTACACTGGCTGTTCTTCTCTTAAATCTAACACGAATTAGATATTCAAGTAGACCTCTGCCATGGATGTATTTTGCTACTTCTCAATTACTGTACCTTACCGGTATAAATAAACATGAATCCTCCTGAGGAGGTAAAAATTTGATGTACTTTAAAACAAGAAATATTTGGCAAGTAGCTAATCAAGAGAAAAGGAAAAAGGAGAGAAAACAAACTTTAAAAGCTCCAGATATGCTGAATCAAAACTTCCTATGTTAAAAATTTCAGGTGTTTCAAAACTAAGGTTGATTTTTTTCTCTCTAAAGTGAGCATTGTCATGATAATTAATTAATGCAATTATGTATTAATAAACATAAGCAAATCAGAACTAAAAATAAATATCAATAAACAGAACATGGCAAAAAGTTAAAATCTAGTCACCTGCATGAGAGCTGAAGGATTTGCAGATGAAATCAAATTAACTCCTTTGTCCAAAGTCCATCAGCACTTTTACTTTAAAAATCTGTATTGCGTCATGCCACTTTATTACCTGTGCAAATATGGAGGGGTTAGAGGACAGCAGAGAAAAGGAAACCCTGATCCCATGAAATCAGTAATAAAATCTGTATTGTTTCTAGCATTCTTTGCTCCTTTTCTGACTCCTTTTGGCTTATGGATCTCTTCTGCCTTAGTCTTTTCTTTCTTGAGGGACTCAACTCATTTAGTTTTCAGCCACAAGAATCTCCTCTCTCTTTCCTGGAACACTTTTTACAGTTCCATAAATTTAGGTTTCTTTGCTCTCTACATTGGGGAATTTTTTACATTCTTTCTAGCCCATTGTCATGCTTCCAGAACTGATTCATGGCCATTTACCTCCAGATGTTAGAAGACTGGCCCAAAGATTGGGCAGTACTAATGCTTCAGGTGTTACACAGGGCAGGTGGCTTTTCTTCATGAGAAGCACTGTGCTGTGATCTCAGGAGTTAGTCGTAGAAAGGATACACAGTGGAAAGGGAACAGAAGTTCTGACTGAGCTGAAAGCCATCAGGTGTTGCTGATTCAATATCTAGAATCAGTCTCCATGCGACAACAAGAGTGGGAAACCTGGAAATGAGAAAAAAAATCACATATTTTAATCTGTCAAAACCATATGTGAAGCAATGCCCTCTGATTGTGCAGGCAGCTTGTATTTTGGCAGACGTGAAGGCATATTGGCAGAATGCTGAGGAGGCTTGTTTTAGAAGCCTGTGCTCATACTATGTGTGTTAAAATTGCTGCCCCTTCAGTCTTGCACAAACCACCTTGGCTGCAGTAGCTTCAAATCAGCTAGAAGCTTGGGCTAGTATTTCCATGTATGGACTCCTGAATTCCTATCTAGAGTTACAGCTATATACAGGTACTGTCCTATTCCTCTCCTCTTTCTTTTCTTCTTTTCCCCTCTCCAGTTACTGGAGATTGAGTGCCGTTTTTGTGAATTCAGATCTTAATTTTGAGCAGTCACGCTTGAAAAACCATAAGCTGAGCCCACAATATGTTTTACAGTTAGACAGTAAGAAAAATTTTGTCATTTATTCATTTATTTTCACTTTTGATTGTGATGCCTTTGCTACCTGAGCAAATATTAGCATTGTTTAGTTTGACCTTACTTAATTTATTTCACCAGGTCCCCATTTTGTTTTAGAAGGGGTCTTCACTGAACATAAGGGTGGTCTGCCACCGAGACTTGCTTAACTTTATAATGCTAACCAGATCATAGTGGAAACACATTGATCGTGAAACTTGAAGAGCAGCTGCAGGACAGGACAGTCGGCTTAGTGCTTGGTAGAAACTGGGATCCAACACCCAACCAGGGCAGATGACAATGATTCGCCTAGAAGACTGAAGACCCCTTTTTCTTCTAAAACACCCCAGGACATATCTGAATTATGTGGGCTTTTGTTCCAGCAGCTCAATCGACCGTATAACAAATACTTTCCAAGGCAGAGCATCAGAAATTGTTAGCACGTTGCAATTCTGGAGTCGCCAGTTAGTGATTCCCTGTTGACATGGTGCACCAGGACTGGAAGGTTAAAGTGCCTGATGTTCTCGATCTCTGCTGCTCTGGCCATGATACTGACTTGTGATCACATCCTCCCTGAAGCTGATTTACTGTGTGCCCTGGCTGCTGCCAGGAGGTACAACAAAATCAGCTTTTATAGCTGAGTAGAGAATTACTATTAATGTTACTAATTTTCATTTCTGAGTGCTGAGAGCCTCCAACAGACAAGTATCAAGAGTCTCTGTCCCAGAGAGCTTACAGACGTAAGAAGATAAATGCAGTTAGGCCACTGCAGCGGAAAGAAACACATGGTTTCAAAGAAAATAAATTGCTCTGCAACAGGAAGGCAGGAGGAAGGTGGTTTCATAAATGAGTGCTCAGCTTCTCTGAAGTCTAAAACCAGAGTCAGCCCAAAATGGAGTGCATTTCCACTAATGAAGGATCCAATGCATATTGTGCATTTAGTTTGGACTTTTTTGTCTTTGCTTATCTTCACGGCCCTGATCTCAGACACTCTAACTTTCCTGTATGAAATGCTGAAAATGTATCAAACAGATTACCTAAATCTTTAGATTTACTGGTCCGTCGTTATTTTTCTAGTAGTCACCATGGAGTGTGGCTGGACTGTTTCCGTCCACATTTAGCCGCAGAGCAGAACTTGACAATTTTGCGCAATGTTCTGTTTTTTCCAGTTTTTGTGATTCTTCCTTTTGCCATTCATACTTACCCACAGGTCATACTTACTCTTCTTTAATACAGAATCTAAAGAAAAATCTTCAAATTATTATTACATCAGAACCTTAAGCTTTAATGTTTTTTTCCATCCATAGCATTTCTATATTTTAAACTCTGTCCAACCATTCCCGTGGCACTTTCAAAACTGTATTTGGCCTCCAGCTCTAAAGATAAAAGTCTTCATGGAAGAGAAGTCACTTGGCATGGAAGGCGACACAGGCACAGGGCTTACACCCAGCCAGTTGCCCATGCTGGAGGAAACAGCAGAGACTTTGAGAATCCCAGCTTTAAAATGCTTCTGGATTTCCTCTCTCAGCTCCACATAAAGCGTTACTTGGCTCTTGGACAACTAAATATGCAACACAGATGCGCACACAAAAAGCAGTAGCGGAAATGGACACAGCCGCACTACGTGGTGTTACCTCTGCAGTGGCTGCCTTCAGTTCCCATAGACCCTGCTTAGCAGCAGTACGGGCAGCCAAAGCAAGCAAAAGTGTTGGATGAAGAAGCCTACTACAAAAAAATGCACGAAAACTAATATGTCTAATGGTCTGCACTTTAGTTCTTTGTTGTAGTGGTTTGACCCTGGCCGGCATCCAGGTGCCCCCACAGCTGCTCTGTCACCCCCCTTCTCTGGCAGGCAGGGGGAGAAAACAGAAGGAAGGTCCCATGGTTTGAGGTAAGGACAGGGAGATCACCGATATCTGCCATCCGGGGCGAAATGGACTCGATTTTTTGGAAATT